CGAAAATATTCCTACTGTGGCGACTTAAATCAGACTAGTGGTAGTTTTCACCCAACAGATGGCGCTGACATATACATTCACCGCCGCGCCTACAAACCTGAATCACGGTATCAGAGTTTACTGCCCTCCTGACTAGTATAAAACCAAGATGGTTAACAACCGGACCTTGGTCCCTGAGCACAACTCCCGCTTGGAAGAAAGCAATTGCACCTTGTGGTTAAAAAAAACTCTTAATCCTTCAAGGCCCGCGAATCTAGACACAATAGATAACAGGGCCGGATCTACCTATGGGCTGATTGGGCTGCAGCCCAGGGCCCCGGGGTTACAAGGGGCCCCCGTCGGTCGGTTTATGGACGATATTTTTACGTGACAACGTCATAAGAAGTTTCAGCCCAGGTAGGGTTGCCAGGTTCAAAAATACAAAAGCCGGACTCGGTGCTTAATTTGGCCGGACATTTAACCCTAAAAGCCGGACACGCCTTTTTTTCATGTCATGCTCATCATAGGTGATTACTTACTATCAACTATCATCTTCAAATCGGTAGCCCAACATTCCGCGTACGTGTGCTTTTGACTGGGCGCGGCAGCCACAAAAAGCCTAACAAAAACCGGACAGGCCGGACAATGGGATTTTTGGCTGGACAAGTCCCTAAAAAGCCAAACATGTCCGGCTAAAGCCGGACACCTGGCAATCCTAAGCCCAGGGCCCCACAAATTCACGATCCGGCCCTGAAGATAATCAATTGTTATGGCATTAATGTATGCCGTCTGGGACTCAAGCGGTTAAAACTCATTTATTTTTGCAAGTAAGCTTTTAAAAAGCGCTTTTACACGTCCCAGTATTAACCCTACCACTGCTTGGAGACAATAGTCAAATGGGCCAGAGAATGGCCTCAGCACTGGCCCATCTGGCCCAGAGAAGAAGCAGCGCAAGAAACTCAGCCACTATTGATTGGTTAATCATCAAACAAATCTCACAGTACCCGAATAAACGGAAAGACAAATAAAATTGTAACATATTAGCTGACTGTTTACACTGTGTAGTGGTGGAAGCAGATCTCAGAACCGTTCAAAAACCTCATAATAACTTCTTGAATAAACAATCATTTATCCACGAACACGTAGGCAAATAAATCTCTATAATCTCGCAGTAGACTCTCTCGTCTGACATTGACCTTGGGGGTACATAGACGCCATTTTTTACCGCCAAGAATACGCGGGATAAATCTTTTTTCTTAGGCAAAGGCGTTAAGTTTCGTGCCAAAGCAAAACTTTTAATTTTGGGTTGACTAAATGTTTTGCTGACAGATGGTGTTATTTGAGACTGAATCTTCAAAGCACTTTTACTACTACTACTTCTATTATTACCGCATTCTAAGTCCGACATTTTACTCTGAAATTATAAGTGGGTACGATAGGACCACGCCCACTCTTCCCATGGATGTCGTAAAAGGGTTCGTTTCAGCCGAAAGACGTCCACTGCTGGACAAAGGCCTCGCCCAAGGATTTTCACAAAGACCGGTCCTGCGCCGCTCGCATCCAGGCACCTCCCGCGACCTTCACCAGATCGTCGGTCCACCTAGTGGGAGGGCTGCCCACGCTACGTCTTCCGGCTCGTGGTCGCCACTCAAGAACTTTCCTGTCCCCAGCGGCCATCAGCTCTACAAGCGGCGTAAAAGGGTACTAAGAGACAAATATGCGAACATCAGGCCTCATTAACCTTCTGGCCAGCGTGAGGAGTGTAGGACAAATCTACCATGTGCCTCTGGTAAATTAGACAGGCTCGTGCTCCTGTAGTAGAGGCTAAATCATTGTATTAAATTGCAATTTATGAATAAATAAATAAATAAATGATGATGATGAACATATGGTAGGGAATTACCTGACGATAAGCGATCCCTTGGGGGAGGTTTTTGTCCAACAATGGCCGTCATTTGGCTGAAACGAACGAAAGCGAACCCTACATCATTCCAAAAGCTGATTTTATAGTCAATCGTTTAAAATGTAGACAATAATGTCTTAAATCGTTTAGCAATGCGTCATCAGCTCAACATTCTTCCTGAAAATGACACAAACTGACTCACCCCACAAAGAAAAATCCCGGAAATTGAGTCAAACGGATTCGTTACCCCCGATTTTTTATGATTCCCACAAATGTTGTCTCCTCATTTAGGGTTATTCACTTTAAGACCTAACAAAGATTGTGTTACGTACATTTTCTTAATTCACTGGTGAATAAGCCTCCAAGATTCCAAGAAATCCTATGTTCCATTCACGGAAGAGACACATAAATTCAAAAATATCTTTATGTAACTTAGTTCGTCCCAATTTGGATAGGACATTGCAGATAATAATATGTTTTCGGGCTTGAATATAAAACTGTATGCTTACCAGATTTGAAAGACTTTTATGTTTTCTCTCTAATTAATGATCAGGAAGTACTTCTTCCGTCATGTGTTGTTCACAAAGTGTCAGACGTTATGGCAATTGGCAAATCTCTCTTTGGAATGTTCAATATCCCTTTTCCGTTTCGCCAACTCTTAAATTTTCTTCTTTAGTCTTATGTAGGTACTCACAATCATAATGAAATTGCTTCAAGAAAATCCAAATTTAAGATTTCTTAAGGAATATCTAATTACTAAGTTATGGTGCGTTGACGTTCTGTGAACTTCTGTGTGACGTCACACCGTGCTACACTTTGCAACGTAGTAACATAACGAGTCCCTATTTTTGAGCTATGGCACATTCTATTAAAGCAGGATATTGATTTTGGAGTTAGCCATTTTAAATAAGGCACCTTCTTCTTCCATTATACAGTGTGAGTCACGTTAAAGTGTACATATGAAAATAGATGAAACTAGACCTATTTTTATCGACAAAAAAGAGGTCAAAAAATTTTTGAGATTTTTTTTAAATTTTTTATAGAATTTTTTTTCTTCAAATTACTTATCTTGAACTTCGAATTCCTCCTATGTTCTTCTGAATATTCGTTGCGGGTCCGGGACAAACTTGACCTTTACTGGTTGGGTTTTTATTGACAGTCAAGTTAGATCCTGGCTACACAGGAGACTTGCAGCGGTAGGAACGAGAGGTGGGAATAGGCCCTTGAAAGTGGTCAAACAAGATCTTCAAAATCCATCCATTTACTTCATTATTTTTCTTCAAAAGAAACTCCTGCGATCCAAAACACGTTACGTCACTAATTAGAATTAGAATAGTATCTCAATGACCTACACTGTGGCCTAGATATTGCTCTATTTATAATCGTTCGTTGAACTATCGGCAGGCGATGGACGCCAAATCCGTTATGGCAGGCTGTCAATGAAATGTAACACCCGCGTCAATTACTTATTCTGTGCCCGCGTGTGATGATACGGTATTGTTTTTCATATTTACATTTTCAGTAATTTTTGAGATTAATAAAAATGGTGAAGGTCGCGCGAATCGCCTTCTTAACCGCTTCTGTGGTCTAGTGGTTAGACCACCTGCTTCAGACGCAGAGGTCCCGGGTTCGATTCCCAGTGGGGGCAGAATTTTCTGTTCGGTTTGGTTGGTGGTAGGGCTTGTTCCAAGTCCGCCTGGCTAGCTACCACCATCTTACCTAAGTCTGTCGCCATAACAACAATGTTAACAAACAGCATTGTTGTGTTCCGGCAGTTAAAGATAGCCAGTTCCTCTGTGGTTGAGGATTCCGGGTGAAGCTCGCTTCCACCTTCGGCCTGATCATCACTTACCATCAGGATGAGATACAGGCCAAGAGCTTCCTCATTGTGGAAATAAATAAATAAATAAAAAGCTACAACAGTCGCGCAGATTAGTACTCACTGGCGCATCTGCATGACAAGGACGGTCATGCAATTGGTACCATATAGCTCACCCGTGCTAACATCTTTCATCTTCGAATCATCCCCGGGTGCCAACCTATGCTACGCCGCCACTGCCCGAAGGTGTAAAAACTCTCAGTATATTTTACTTTCCCCTTGATCTCGCATACTTTGGATATCAATCGATCCCTGGGGGTTGATGTAGACAATTTTGGGTCTCCAGCTCCATGAATCAAAACCATCATAAATGGCTTTTCTCCCAAGCTCTCAAAATTATTATTTTGGGTCTAATAAAGATCTTGTATTTAGAATTCCTTTTCCTTAGATTTCCATAGGCAGGGTACTCACCTGTCATGTATCACATAACGTAGCATGTAACGTAACCAACCTTCAAGTGAGTACGGCTCGTCCATGGTCATTGCGTATCTGGCTGCGAGCTCATGGGTCCTACTGCCAGCCGCCTTTGTGCTCGCAGTGATACCGCCACTCGGCGGGTCGCTGCGATCTCCCTGCGAACCACGCGCGAGCAGCTCGCAGCGGGCTCGTGCCTATGTACTCACTTGATACAGTATCTGATACATTACATGCTACACGGCTAGACGAGTACCCTGCTATAGGTACTCAAATCTGGTTGCTATAAATCTCATCACGTGTTCTGTCAAGAGGATTTCAACAAAACAATACGCGATATCCATATTTACGTTGGTCGAGCCCCGAAACGTGGCCAAATCGAAACAATCGGGACAAGAGAGCAGCAAAACATTGAACCCAATCCAAGAAATGGTGTATTTTGGGAGAATTTTTACACGCTTTCAATTTTACCTGCGTTTTCGTCTGTGGGCGTTTCTGAAAATGTATAGAGTAATTCCGACACAAAGACTTTTATTTGATACATCATTTTACGATAATGTTTATTTCATAATCTTAGTGACTGAGAAGTTGCATTTAGAGAAGCAACTTATGCCCGTTTTCACCATCAATTCCTAATTTTTAAGTGACCCCTATGAAAACAAAATTCCTGTTAAAAAGTGTCACTTAAAAATAGGGATTGATGGTGAAAACGGGCATTAGTCTTGATGGATCACAAAAATTAGGAATCACACAATACTTAGCGTTGAACTTGTAGCTAAGTATTTCAGACTAACAAGGGGATAGGAGACAGTATGAGACACTCACCAATCAATTTAACCATAAAAGTAGCCATGGACATGTGACCACATGGATGCACCTGAACCGTGTTACCGCACCAACCTCACAATAATGTTACATAACTCTAGTAATAGTCCTAAGATCACCATCTAAACTAAACGCCACTCACTGCTCATTAACGATACACACACCACAGATTCTCAGCATCATTATCAACCGATAAATATTTAAAGGTAAACAATCGTTCTGCCAAGAGCGAAGCGCCTTAGTACGTGCTGAGAGACGAACTGGCACCAGATTAACTCGTTTAGCACGGCGACATGCGTCATTGGATTGCTTAAATAAATCGGTTGATTCGGTCATTATTAATCATTAAATTCACTGCTTATTTGTAGTCTTAATGGTAACATCTTTGGCCATATTCAGTTGCCATTTTATCATCATCACCAGGTCATTCAGTCTTCACTACAGAAGGATGACAGACCAAAGGATTTTTTTTATCCACAACGAGGAAGCTCTTGGCCTGTATCTCACCTGATGGTAAGTGATGATCAGGCCAAAGGTGGAAGAGAGCTTCACCCGGAATCCTCAACCACGGGGGAACTGGCTATCTTACCTCTAACTGCCGGACCACAACAATGCTGTTAACATTGTTGTTATGGCGACAGACTTAGGTAAGATGGTGGTAGCTAGCCAGGCGGACTTAGAACAAGCCCTACCACCAACCAAACCGAACAGAAAAATCTGCCCCCACTGGGAATCGAACCCGGGACCTCTGCGTCTGAAGCAGCTGGTCTTACCACTAGACCACAGAGGCAGTTAGGATTTCGCCTCTCAACGCTGCAGCGCTGGCCAATCGTTTTGGGGAGGTCTATGCGCATATTTCTGCCTTGACGAGAAGAATCATTTATCCCAATTGAATCTTTTCAGAAGAAAATAATTAACTGTGAGAATGTAAACTAATGTCGAAGGAAGCAAGAACAAATCCTCCGATTGCAAGCTATAGAAAAAACTAAAAACTACTCAACCAAATTAAACCAAAATTTTATGGGACCAAATGGCAACTTATTCCGTATCGATGAAAACAAGAATCACGTAAATCGGTTCAGAAATCTCGGCGTAATCGAATTGAGAACCTCCTCCTTTTGTTGAAGTCGGTTAACAAGAAGAGTTCAAAATCAAATAATTTCGTAGAGCTCTTACGATCTGCTTGAAATCAAATGCCTAAGTTTATTACCTCCATTAATCAGCACTGAACTGGCCACAACGTATCTCTTGCCAAGTCTCTCGAGTTTTTCACAAAGAAGAGAGAAAATTCCTAAATACTTTATAAAAACTATCTTTATTAATAGACGTTTAAAAATATCACAGATTTTTTTAATCAGTTGTTAGAGTTTTAATAGGATTTCAAATTGATCCCAGAGGAGAGACTCAGAGGTCCTAGGTTCGATTTCCAGTTTTAGCAAAAGTTGGAGGTAGATAATAAATAAGATAGCCAGTTCTTCTGTGATCGAGGATTCGGGGTAAATCTCGGCTGATCATTACTTTCCATCAGGTGAGGCATTCAAGAGCTGTTGACATTTTTTTATGCATAACAAGCCTAGGCAGGTATTTGAAAACAATCGCACCAGGTGTTAAATGAGATGCAGTCTAGGATGGTACATCTGCGCTGTAAGTGCCTATTCACTCTCGCTTTGAAAAGGCCCGCATAGTGATCGGGAAAGACAGCAGCAGGCTGCGAATTCCAGTCCCTAGCTGTTTGCATTATAAGAGTTATCGAAACGCTTAGTGCGAGCTGGTGGAATGTCGACAATGTAGGGATGGTACTCTAACCTGCGTCTGGTTCCCCGGTGATGGAAGGCTGGTGAAATTAGGTAGTGAAATTCCTTCGAACATTCTCCAAGTGTAACTTGTAGAAGTGAGTAAAAGAAACAATATCTTGTGCAATCTTTTCGTAATTCGTTAGAACCTCGTATCTTCTTTTAACCTCGATTTGTTAATTAAACATTCTGTTACTAAGGAAAACATCGAAGACTTTGATCGACGCTAAAAAATGCATTACACATTGTGTTTAAATTATTTTCTCGTAATAATAAACATCTGCAATATTGCATCTGGTCTCAACGTACGATTAATGAAGCATTTCAGTTTGTGTAGAAATGATTAAAGAGGATTCTTTGAATGAAATAGGTAGCAACGAAAAACTTTACATAAGTAGATTTTGCTTAATGATTTTGTATTGGCACTTAATTTTAGAACTGTTTCAAAGCCTCTACTGCGCTATAACTAACCACACTTTTAAAACTTTTCACAAAAACGCGCCAATTTTGACAAGTGGCCATGTCCCATCGCTAAAACTTTTTATCAAAAGCGCGCGAATTTTGACACGTTAAGCTGCCATATTTGTATCCCCACGCTAAGTTATCAATGTTGATTTAGTCGATTTTCTCCTGATGGGAACATGTAAGACAAAAATAAAATTTCCAATATTACAGACCTTCTAGAGCAGATGCCGCGAAAACTATACAATTTATAGAAAAACTTGACTGTCTCATCTGTAGCAAATTGAATATGCTTTTTTTGGTTCATAGTAGTCATGTCACTAGGACGCATAGTTTCCGAAGATTAAGCGAAAAACCGAAAAGTGGCACCTTTAAACCCCCCTCTCCCTGCCGGCTCAAGGGCTAAGGGCGGGGACTTTTGCTATGTTCACCTCCTAACTAGTCTAAATAAAGTCCTGAAGTCAGAAATTGTGTTCTACAGTTTTCCATCTATAATGCTTTATTGACTGGACTAACCGGTTTGTACAAGAATACCATTTGAAAAATAAATTACGGGTTAAACAAACTCAGTTAACTAACACGTTAATCGTGACAGTCGACACCCAATCTGCATACTTTAGGAATACATAAATCAGAAGTGTCAAAATAACAGATTTTTACTAATTGCGCAAAAAACAAATCAACAGCGAATTGTTAATTAAATTGTTAACCTTCAAAACGGATAGACCGAATTTGATAGGACTTTTACTGGCAGACAGCTTATTTTATAGTACAGCGTAATTTAATGTTACATACTTTTTTAAAGCGTAATTAATTAAGATTCAGCACAAAAATTGGGACCTAAATCCATGACACCAAAATCGACAATGGCGCGGGCAGAAGCTAGAGTTTAAAACAAATAAGTCCTTGCCAAAACAAAAGGAGGTCTGCCTTGTTTTAACATTAGTGACGTAGTCTGTACGAAATCGAAAGGAATGCTTCAACGGGAGATCGACTCGAACGGGTTTTGCTATCTTGCGATGGCCGCTTTTAGCGGGTGAAAGCTGCAATTTTCTAAGGAAACAATCGTTGGTGAGCGCTAAACTATGAAACTATCCGAGGAAACGTCTGGCCATAAAACTATACAATATAGGCGCGTGCGAGCGTACGCAGAATGCAGGCTCATTTTATAGTTGCGGCGGTATCGGTGTTCATCAGAGATCGTGTTTACATCGCTGTGCATGTTTAACTAAATACTGGTCAAGTTCGAGTCGGCTCACAATGACGCGTCACAATTCGTAAACATCACATGGATATTTCGTCATATCTGCTGACAGACAGCGGAAGTATAATTATTAAAAAGGGTACGCAACCTTAACAAAAAACAAATAAAATAAAATACCTGTTAAATTCAATAAACATTAACTTAGGGTCGGTAGAGATCATTGTAATGAATGCCTTCCCAAAAAGGATGTAAGTACGTGACCCCAATATTACAAACGGTCACGTATTATTTGTACTAAAGATAATTGATAAGTGGCTTCAATAGCAGATTAACAAATAAGGGCTTGCAAAACTAACCCAATTTGCGGTTCAAGCGATTGGTTCTGCCTTGACCAAGATTAGTTTTTACCACAGTTTTTCTGTTTCCAAATCAAATACTGGCAAATTAATGTATCTCTATTCTTTCGTTTCAATTAACTTAAAAGCGTAAAAGTAGATCAAGTATTTTATAACTTTTGGTAAAGAGTAGATTGGACCTTGGAGTAAGTTCTTTCTGTGTCCTTTTATTACAAAATATATGCAAGGGAGACCTATCATTTCTCAATTATTTCAGAATAGTTTAGAGTCTAAACTCTTTTCTTTTGAGCCTAGTTTTGGAAGCAGAAAGCGTGCCAAAAATTTTATGTGACATACCGACACACCCACGCGAGCGAAGCCGGGGGCAATCGCTAGTTACAAATATGGTGGCCTAGATAACTATGGAGTTCGGACTTAATTTAGATACCAGATTCTTTGCTGACAAATATTATCTTCGGAGAATAATGACACGATTAATTCTGATAAGCATTAGGGTCATTCCATGACAAATGTTACCGAGGGTTAAAAACTAAATATGTTCTTTTCGCATTAAATCTGATGAATTTTAAAAGTAAACATTCCAAATTATAATGTGCAACAAAAAAAATCTGCAAGAAACAAGTAATTTTTAAGTTATTAGTCTTCAAAGTCTATACTTAAGTCAACTGTCTGAATGATCATTTTCTCTCTAATTATTGGTAATACGATTAAAAAAAAACTATCAATCTGTGAAACGTTTTGCCACTAAGTATATGATTTGAGGGTATTTATCATAGTATTGGTAGATAGCGCCATAGTCCCAAAAAATTGATAATCATCAAGTTTTAAGTGTGTTTTCTTGTTATTTCGGCGATGTAACACCCGAAACAAAAAAACAGGTATTTGTTTTATTATTGTACCTTACACATGGGTTAGGATAACAATATTTGGTAAAAGTAAGGTCATGGTAGTAATGATTTCAAATACTAACTAATATCTGAGCATAATACTAATTTAGTATGTTTCTTTCTTGATTAAAAACTGTAACACCCGAAACGTTTCGGGTATTACATTTTTATTAATATGTCGATAATGTGTGTATATTGCTTGGAGAAGTCAAAAAGTATTACTGTGAGTGTCCTTCGACCTCCCACTAGCGCTGACGTCGGAAAAGGAGTCATATTTCTCTATTTAAGATATTTTTGAAAAGTCGACTTAACACTAAAATTAAGGTATTGCTAAAAAGTCTCTATGTTTGACATTTCCATTAAATATCGTAATTAGAAATTAAAGTAATGCTATTTCAAGCCAAAAACAATGGAAAAAGCTATATTCTGAGGAAAAATTAAACTTGAACTTTGTATATTTTTTAAGAAAAGGTGCTTCGTAATTTCAAACCAGAATTCGCTCTATTTGTGTTTATTTGTTGTACTCCTTATTTTGTAGTAC